GTTTCAATGAGACCACTGTCTGGAAAGTGCCTGTATTTTTTTTATGTAGCCATGTCACTGTGTGGACAAGACTGTCAAGACACCTTGACTGGGGGATATGAGGAAAATCTAATATCGTGATATATTTTTGCAATATCACGATAGATGATATATATCACAATATTCTTACATGAGTTCCAATGTTATTTTAAACTAGACTCCTTGTAGACTTAAATGTAAGCTCATATAAAAAGGAATGCAGTGTTTTGCTAGGAACTATCTACACTATGACTAGATAACAAGGTGAGAAATAAGTTTTAATAAGTAGGTCAGTTATGCTCGACTTTGACAAACTTAAATAGATGTGTTGTGGAATAAGGTGTGGTTTGGTTCAGTTTAAAAATAAAAATGTGACCTACACACAAACTGACAGATCATCAGTAAAGCAGGTGTTTAAATGAGCTAATCAGCCTGTGTTAGCGTGGCTAATAGCAGCGGTGGCTAATCTACCACTGGTATCACTTATTAATAATCTCAAAATACACATCAAACCTAAAAATCCAAAACTGTAACAAACTAAATGTTCTGAACTATGTGGGGGTAATGTTTGAGTGTTATTGGTGCTGAATCCTGATACATAAAGTTGCGTTGTTGTCAGTTGCTATGGCAATGAGTCTACATGTAGAAGCACTCCTATCTGGCTGTTTTTTCCTATGGTGATGTATGGTGATGGGGGGCTAAAAAACTAATAAAGAGTGGCATTGTATGAAAATTAGCAATAATTTTCAATATTGTGAATTAGGACACAACTTAAGAAAATCGTATAGACTAAAACCTAAACTGAAACAATGTAGAAGCTCAGTTTAACAGATCCACCTGAATCATCACACAGTTATGGACTGCTAAGAGACACTCAGCAGACTAGTCAACATTAAAACTTCTCCAACTCAAGACATATCTAGTGAATGACTGCAGAGGCCCTGTAGCTGCTAATATTATGTGTATATGTACTTATTATGCACATTCTGTTATGATATGTTAATTTGGGGTCTTCCCCCAGAGAGGAGCAGTCCACCATGAGCCAGTGTATTCTTGTGTTTTAAAAATATTACAAGTTGACAAGAAATTTGAAACTATGAGTTAGTTAATCATATTATTGGAAGATATTATTGATAGTCATAGTCTTAAAAAAGCATAAAAATATATTATAAGTAAATATAAAATAAAATAATATGAAATATGAAATAAAACTCTTTTACACATGAGGCCCCTGGACCGTCTTTGTCGTGATCAAAATGTTTTTGTGTGTTGAGCTTGTGTGTACTGCATGAGTGTGTCATGTATCATCAGTGTAGAAGACTGTTTCTTTAAATTGAAAAACTTAAGGACATTTACAGAGTGAAGGTAGGAAGTGGAAAGTTGGTAAATGTGGTGACAGAGGAGCTACATAGAAACATGGCTGTCAGCACTAGGCTTACAGTTTCACACCAGTTAAGGAAACCTGCTTTTCATTCCAGTCTGTAACACAGGATGGCGTGTTGGTATAACTAAGCCATATTTGGCCACAACAAGAAATCCTGCTACTACTCCAGAATAAGAAATGACTTATTTTAAGAGCAAACTGGTTCTCAACCCTCATCAAATACCTGGCTATCTCAGTCTGACTGAGGCGACGGCTTGCTTTGTTTGGATAAAACCATCTTCAGGTGGGATTTAATATAGTAATAAACAAACCTGCTTCAAGAATTTACTCACTGTTAATTATTTTAGGAATTTAGTTAGTCCTTTGAGTTTGAATTGATTTTGACATGATTTTGCAAGTTTGTGTTGAAATATAAATCTATTCCTCTGGGATGTATGCAGAGGACACATACCACTTCAGAACAAAATTAGCAGTTCTGTTTTAGGGCTGGTGTTAAAAGGTGGTCCTAAGTGCTTAGGTAAGAAAGAGCATCTTCAATGTTACCTTCTACACAAGTACTGTCTTATGCACTGGACTGAGAATCTATATCAGTGTGGTTCTAAGTTTATTTTCTATGAATGCATTTGGATTTTCTATAGTCAAAAGTAAGGTATCACATAATTTAATCACATCATCTGTTAACCCCCTCCCTGGTTTGTGCCTTTTAAATCCCTGTTCAGGTCTACAAGACAGATCACACAGTTTCTTGTTTTACTACAATAGCATGTGTTAGTACCAGATATATAATCTGTATCTCTCGCTCCAGTGTGTCTTTTTGAAACTCTGTTCACTGTCGCCACCTGTATCATCAAGAATTGGAATCACTACAAATTCAGTGACTCAATGCAATTGGCAGGGGTACATTCACACAGGGAGGACCTCCCTGCTGTGCAAACCTGACACATAATTTCCTCTTTATATGCAGTTTCTTCTTTATATCCATGAAATGTATAAGAATTTATTTTATGTGCCTTGAATTAAAATTATTTTGTAATTAGGTGCTAAATTAATTAACTCAAATGACTTTTTTTTGTAGTGGTAATGCCAAACTGAAGTAAAAAAGGCAAATAATATTTGCTGTGTGTGCAACTTAACTTTCTCAGTTTAACACATCTTCAGATATGGAATATAAATATGTTATATGAGCACTTGACTCATCTAGTCAAGGTATGTGCATGTTTTGACGACATACTAAAATTGCAGCATCATATAGTACATTGACATGACAGCTACCTTGGATTCAACGTAGGGCTGGGCAATGTGTCAAGTATACTCGATGAATCGCGATATTTTCCATTTACCGTAGTTAAAATGGCTATATCGCAACTATCGAATATAAATTGTCGTTCAAATAATAAACTTTCACCGTCAAGTTCACTGCGAGTATGGTTTATCCAACACCCTATCAATGCATCACTAGTTCTTCCCCCCTCTCAACCTGAAAAATGTATACCAATCACGCTGCGTGGAGAAAACAACATAGTGACAGCAAGAGTTTGAGGCGAGCCGTGAATGAGACTGTAACTGAAGAGGAATCACATAAACTATCTAGTTCCGAAGAGAAACAGCGCTGGATCAGTAATTTGGATTTTATATGGAGGATGTTGAACAAAATGAGGTCATTTGCAAAACATGTTATCAAACTATTGCCACAAAACATTGTACCACAAAGTTATTTCACCGCCTAATCAGACTATTCTTTTACATGACGTTCGTAGCCGCGCTGCCACGGTAGAACTAGTCCATTAAAGAGAAACCTGGAGATGTAGGTATGATTCATTTAGTGCTATGCAATGGGAAAAATAACTCAAAACTACTCTTTTTTTTTTTTTTTCGCTCTCGGTTCGGCTTTACGCTAAAAGTGTTTCCCTTCTGACACACCTGGCTTGAATTTGTGGGTGATAAACAAGCCTCTGCTTCAATTGATGGCTATAGAAGAGGTCATACAATCATTTGAATCAGCTGTTCTGGAACAGACACACATCTAAAATATGTAAGGGGGGGGCTGAGGACTAGAACTGAGAAACACTGGATTAGGTTAGCAGCAAAATGCATCTAAAAACTGATAGCCTGTACTGAAAACAATGTTGGGGTTAAATCTTCAGGGTGGTACAGAAGCAAAGGAGAAGAGAAAAACTTGTGGAAATGATCTGCAAAATTAGGTACAGTAAAGCAGGATACCATGAAGCCCAGGTTACAGCATTCTGCTATTCAAAAGCAGCCACTGTTAAAAATACTGCAGGCTTTCTTCTTAGTGCTGTTATATTACAAGCTTTGCAAAAACACATGGGACCAGAAGAGAGACTAAATGTCGTCTGGAACACCTATTTGTTAAAAGCAGATATTCTAAAAGGCATTCTAGCGGTGGTTTTTACCTAAAATTTGTAAAACACATTTGGTATGTCAATTGTTTTATAACTCCATCCTGGGCCCCATATGGTGTTAAATGGCCAAACATTTTTATTTGTGGGTACAAACCTGAGTCAGAGAAAGAAAGAACTCTGATAATTCCATATGAACTTTCAATAAAGCATGACTGGCTGGGATCAATAAAGAAATCACATAATCTGTGGCTCTGTTTTGGAAAATAGAAGAAGAAGAAGAAGAAGAAGAAGAAGAATAAGAAGCCAAGAGACTCTTAGAATAAGTGTTCACTAAATGCACATACTAATTTGTTTGGCACTATTTCTGATTTTTAAAACTGTGGCACCGTTTGTCTGAAAGAAAGTGTTTCAGTAGCATTTTGAGTGATTTATTTAAGAGAGAAACATTAACCAAAGCTCCTGCTTGAATGCAGTTTTTTTTCAAAATAAGAAAAAAACTGAACACTTAACATAAATGGCGACGGTACTTCATAAAACTTCAACACCAGACTAATCTTTAGATAAACACGACTTGCAACCCATTACACCTAATTACTAGAAAACAAAAACTCTGAATTCAGATTATGTCAGTTTGTTTCACTTGTTCTGAGTGGAAGAAGAATTAACAGCCAGAGGCTACATTTCTGTCGTGCTGTGCCTGGTTAAACACGCCCAACAATCTGAGAGCTGAGCTGAGCTGCCTACACAATGAGAGTTAGGAGCTGAACTTGTGCTGTAGGTCATAAAAGGCGCAGTGAGAGAAGAGTGGATGGGCGGTCTTAAAGGCAAGACCTTCTTTGAAATACGGAACTTTTCACAGACTCAGTTTCAGAACAGCCAAGACTGAAATACACACGAACATCTTGAGAAACATGCCACAGTAACATCCTGAAAACGCAAACAGAATGTTCCACTATAATACAGACCAAAACCTTTAGCAGAGTGCGTGTGTGTGTAAACTGGTGATGGTGGAGCGGAGGGCTCTTGTCTATGTGGCGGGTGTGATTCGGAGCCGTTTCCTCATTGTGTAACCGAACCTGTCGATTTTAAAACGCAATATCTAGTGTTGTCTGAGAACGCCGCAGGTGTGTCTGCTTTATTTGGCTAAAGTTTTGCAGCTACAACTTTCTGGGGACGTCAAAAACATCTTGCAATAAGTCTGGAAACTTTTGAAGGTTAGAAACATTCCCTCTGACCTGAGCGCCCCACTGCTGTCCCGTCGACGGCTCTTCGAGCGATGAAGTCACGTCCGTAAAAGTTTTTTTCTAACAGTTTTCCAACAGAATAAAGTTTTAAACCAGGGGAAAGGCCCAAAGCGACTTTTCTCTCCCCTCCCTATCCGCTCCGAACTGGGGTGCCGTTGCCTGAAACTCCACCCAGCTTGTCTACGTACAGAGGGCGGTGTTTTTTCCTGCCCAGATTGTTCTACTCATGTTAGCTTATTAGTAAACCACTAATGAGCAGCTATTCCCTTGATAGAACTATGCGTTGTTGCATTAACCAACTGCACGAGAGGTTGTCCTCGTGCAGGAGGACTGCACTCTGACTGATGCTTATGATAATAGACATTGACTTATGACATACTCCCGACGACATTCGATCTTATATTAATTAGAAGAACTGATAAAGATGTGGCGGGAGACAGTTAGCGCGAGGACCAACACTCACAATGTGCCATTAATCCCTGCCCCCAACCCAGATTTATATTTTTGGTTCACTCCCATCACGGTGTAGATGCTGCTGCCCGTTATTCGCTTCCTGTTCCGTTGACTGTACAGGAAGAGAAATGACAGCTAGTCCACTAACAAAACACTGAATTATCCCTTTTCGTGGTAGCAGTTCAGGTGTTTTAATGAAGACATTAGAAGCCTGAACAACTTGCTGCTTTTAAACTAGACAGAAGTTGCCGTTTTTGAAATACGGAATTTAAACACAAACTGTTTAGTTCGTCACTCTGGATGGAATAAACCTTGGTGTTGTCTATCAGGGTAAATATTGCCAACATTTGAAATATCTTAACAGAATAACGGTTTAAAAAAATAATAAATAGTCCATGCATTTGTTATGCTAAGACTGAAATGGTTCTTTCAGGAAGCCCCAAAATTTAACAGTAATTACTGAACAATTGCTTGTTCAGTAAATGGTTGATCTTTTGACCTTTGAACTTTTTTATTAATATCTTCAAAGCCAAAGCAGCACAAACATTTTTATTTTTTTTATTTTTTTTTTTTGCTGCACAAACATGCTGTTCAGTGAAGATGTTTTTTGAGGGTGGTAGGAGTTCCATTGCTAAATTTGGTGCTATCTCTATTCTTCTGTCAGACTCTAGAAGCTGCGAAATGTGCAGAGGCTGAACATAGATGCAGGTTCAGATGGTGTCAGCCCCAGGTCCTAAAGGCCTGTGTCTTCAGGGATTCTGAAGCACCTTTTCAACTTTATCGTGACCCAAGAGAAAGTGTTTTAGAAGAGGTCCTGCCTTATTTGAGGACCCAAATAAGGCAGGATGTCATGGTACCTCAATAAGAACCTGTTCTGGAGGCTGTTCTAGAACCTCTAAAGATGATTGTGCAAAGAACATTGCTTCATGAATTAAAAAAATCAACTTTATGAAATACAGTATTTATGAGATTGCAATTCTAGAACAGAACTTCAGTCACAGACTACATTCCTTCATTATGTGTTGACTTGTCTTCCTTCCAGTTTGTAGATAGATTTTCATTCTTCTTCTTACACATTGATTGAAACTTATTTAGCTGCAAAGTGTCTTACTTGACATTTGTTTGCATGGCAGCAGGAAATGTGAGAATTCCAGCTGGTATGAACTCATCAATAGAGGTTAATATGCTGCAGTAAACTCATGAATGCAGAGTGCAGTGAAAATGTAAAGAGCATTCTCTTGAAATAAATGAACCATACAGACACACGTTCCATCCTCATTTATTCCCACTCTATATGTGTATACAAGTCTGGTTTAACGAATCTGGTGGAACATTAATACATTCATATCTACATGACATAAATAATCATAATTCATGCTGTACAACCATCAACACTGGAAAGGGTCATGTGACCTCTGAGCCAGGCAGCAAGAGCACACCATAATGCAGGACACTACTGAAGCTGGTACAGCTCAACCAACTGACTTTACAGTTTAAAAGAATAGATCTGTACATTATTGAATGCAAATCTTTATAATATGTACAGTTTGCACTTCCCAGGTGCTTATTGTAAGGCTTCTCTAAAAGAAAGTTATTATAGCATCAAGTATCCAAGCTGCCAAGAGCCAGAGCCACCACCTACTGCACTGTGTTCCAAGGCTGTCTCCACATTCGTTTATTTTGTTAGCTGCGGCTGACAGACAGACAGACAGACAGACAGACAGACAAAGCATCAACTGCTCAGTCCTGCTGGGTTCATGTGACTCTCCTGTTCTTGTGCATCACCAACGAAGTTTCCCTGTTTTAGTATCTGGTCAATTATTGGAGCAAAAATGTGGTCAAACTGACATATAATGACATATGATGCTGTGATAATTCTTCAGGTCCAGCAGAGGGAGCAGTCTGAGGTTCTTGTGGCACAGATGTCTGTGACAGCTGGGGAGCATCAAAAAGTTTTTACATGAAACAAAGACTACATTTTTAACATGTCAACCTGCTGCTCTACTGGTCCATCACAGTAAAATTAGCCGCTTTACTAAACAGACCCAGTAAATTAACTGAAAGGTTGTTGAGAAGCTAGAGCCCCACCTGCAGTTGCTACTTTGCTGCCACAGAGCAGGCCTCACAGACAACATCAATGACACTTCTAAACATCATGGTAATACTTTGTGGAAACTGGCAGCTCTAAAATCCAATTAGAAAAATTATCAAGTCGGAAATAAAAATGCTGAGACCAAGGATGTTCCTATACTGATCTGATTGGTGCTCCTTGTGTTTTTGGAAGAAATCCCAGCTGGTGACCATGCTAGGTCAAAGTTAACAGTGTCACTGCCATGCAGCATCACACTCAGGTGTTCAGATTTCATGGCTGCCTTAGCCAACAAGAGTTTAAATAAAAGCAAAGGCTGACGAATGATGTCTTACATATTAGAGAGATTGCTTCCTGGTGTTTTGCTCCAAACGTCACCAGATGGCCAGAATATTAGAAACAGCACAATTTTAACAGTAAAAAAGGTCATGAATTCACAGAACAGAGTAAATAAGATAAGCTGCATCACCTGCTATGTTACCAAGGCAACATCTTTCACTTCACTCCCTTTTTTTTCTACTCAGCTGTAAAATAAATAATTTGGTTTATTTAACGGTATTGGCTGAGTGTTGGCAGCATGATACGTCTGTTCTCCTCCCAAATGGAACCATCAATTCTGCACCAATGCAGAACTAAGATACATTCGAAAATGGACTTTGAAAAACAGGAACCGCCGAAGAATCTAAATATTGAAAAAACAAATAAAAAGAAATGTATGACTTTGAAAAGCAGGGCTTGGTGGTAGGTGGAAGGCAGGACTCCTGATGGTCCCCATCAGGACCCCGCGGCCCTCCTGGCCGTCCAGCTGGGCCCAGCTACTGTCTGTCTTTCCAGTTCTTCTCTGCTGGGCCCAGACACTGTGGGAGGGACACGGACGCTATCAGTTGCTGCTGGTGGCCCCGGGGCCAGCCACAGGGCCAGCCACGGCTGTAGGCATGCGAGGCATTTTCTTGACTGGACTGGGGATGTGCTGGGGAGACAAAGCAGACCAGCAGCAGTTTCAGGACCTGCTCTTCCTGTCTCAGATTTATTCATCTAATTAATGTGTTTAACTAGAAACTGTCAAACACTGATATTTAGAATGGGTAATGGGGTCTCAATATTGGTATCAAACAGACAGAACTCCAGTCAGGAATTTACAAGTTTACAGAGAAGATGAACTGAAGAGATGATGAAAAGAAACTTCTGAAGACAATCAGCCAGACAGAAATATTTGGCATTCTCCTGCTGTCCCTTTAGATCAGGGTCAATACAAGAAGTCCTAGCCACCCCCCAGCAGGGTCCATTCTACCCGCTTTGATCAGATGCGGTCCTGGTTCTGGTAGAGGGAGTAACGACACCTGGCTCTGGAAAGATTCTGCTCATTGGGACAGTACCTCAGAGGCTGAGGCGGTGCAGACCAGCTCTGGCTCTGCCGGCTGGTCCGCCAGCTCTGCCAGCTTCTGGAAAGCCGGCAGAGCTTCCCAGAAGCCGGCTTCTGGAAAAGCTCTGGATAGCTTTCCAGAGCTTTCCAGAAGCTCTGGAAAGATTCTGCTCATTGGGGCAGTACCTCAGAGGCTGAGGCGGTGCGGACCAGCTCTGGCTCTGCCGGCAGCTCGTCATCCAGGGCTCTGCGGGCATACTCCCTACGGTGTTTGTCATCCACTCGGGTCAGATACCACGTCCCCGGGAACAGATCCTCCACCGAGCTTCGAGGGACGTAGCTAGCTGGAGAAGTGAACAAGAAGAGAAGACCTCTATTCAATTATATCTGGTGTTATACGTTGCAAAGCTACCTCAATCTAACGAGGATTTCTTCTTGGCACACAGGAAGCTAACTCGCCAAAACCGAACCATTTTTCTATGCACCACAAATCTGCAATGAACTTCTAGGAAACTGTCAAACAGCCAAAACTCTTAAATCTAGACTAAAATGGACAAAATTGTATTTCCATGTTGAAAAGCTGCTGGAGACATATCCAACAAGACCTGCAGCGCTGCAGCGAACAGGTACTTCTATAAAACAAAACAACTTTCACTTATTTATTTGTAAAAAAAAAAAAAAAGAAAACCAGACAACCTGTTCAATCTGTTTCACAGCTGGGTGCTGAGCTACTATAGACAACCCAGTTTGTGGCGGTAAGATGATTAAAAGATCTACATTGTAATTTAAACAGTAAACCTGGTGCCTGTGGCTCCGTGGCACAGCTGTAGGTTGATTCCAGTTTTCTACTCTCACAGAAGTGACAGTAGCAGCATGTACAGCAGGAACATACCCAGGTGGTGAGTCTCCTCTCTCAGCTTCATGATTTCAGAAAAAGCTGCAGGTGACATTTTCCTCCTGGAGTCCAGTCTGACCCTCAGGTCGGTCAGGCTGGAGACAAGCTTGTCCAGTGCAGACCCTACCATGACACACACCCATTAGTTTCTGCTGTTGTGTGACACTCCGAGGTCGTATGGAGGTCACATGGAAGAGAGCCTGAACTCACCAGGGGTATGATCCTGAGTGACCCTGAGAGAATACAAGGTTGCAGCAAACCCTGACCCATAGGAGAACAAGCCCACCCTCTGCCCTGCCAGCTGAGATGCTGTGTGTCTGAAACACAGAAAAAAGAGAGATTGTCGTGACAACCATTACCTGAAGCTTTATGGGTCAGTTCCAACA